GGAGGCTTTTGTAATTGCTATTCAGGACCAAGTAATAGATACTCGTAACTATCAAAAACACATTATTCATATTCCCAGCCCTCCAACTGACTTATGTAGAAGATGTCACAGTAGCTCAGAAACAATTCAACATATTACAGGTGCATGTAAATCTATAGTTCAAACTGACTACAAACATAAACATGACCAAGTTGCTGCAATTGTCCACCAAAACCTGGCCCACAAACATTCATTCATTCTAAGGTCGCCTATTATAAATATATTCCCAGCACTATTTTAGAAAGTAATTCCGTCAAAATATATTGGGACAGGACAATTATAATAGACAAGACTATACATTACAATAGACCGGACATAACAATACTAGACAAAATTAAAAAATCTGTTTTTATAATAGACATAGCAGTTTGCAACACACAAAACCTCATTACTACACATTCGGAAAAAATGACAAAGTATGTAGACCTGGCTACCGAAATAAAAAGGCAATGGCAAGTAGATTTCGTAAAAATAGTTCCTATCATCATATCTACAACTGCTGTAGTTCCAAAGACCCTTCAAACCAGCCTTAACATGCTTCAAATGCCTAAATCCGCTCTTACACTTATACAAAAAGCAGTCCTACTGAACACTTCTCGTCTCACACGTAAATTTCTTAACTCATCACCGTCATCATTGTAATTATTTCACTTTTCCTGCGTGCACACTTGGTCAAGGCTCGTGTGTCCGTTTTTAGTTTAGTTTAGTTTAGTTTACGACGGGCTGTTTTCCGTAACTCCACGTCTAAGCGCGTATTTTGCGTGTGGGCAGGAATAATATGTTTATTCGAGCCATGATATCTCCCCGAAGAAGCTCAGCAGTCCCTTGATGTTGTAAGGAACTTCGGGGAGCGATCCCGGAGTGCCGAGATGTTTAGCCCTGTATGAAGCGACTTCTGGACATGTCAGCAACACGTGAGCCGCCGTTTCTTCCTCTCCCATGCATGCCCTGCACAGGGGGCTGTCAGTAACACCTATGGTGAACAAATGTTTGTTAAAAGAGCCATGTCCTGTGATAGCACTTGTTACTATTCTGATCTGTGGCTTGTTCAGTCTCATTAGAACCTTGGTTAGACGACTGTTTATTTCAGGTAGGGCCTCCCTAGCTTGTCTACAGTCTACTAAATTTTTCCAAAGCTGAGCGTGTAAATTATTGAAGTATATACGTACCAGTGAACGAACGTAGCCAAAGGGGATTGGTATTAATGGTTCCGGCCCTATAGTTGCTAGGGCCGATCCCCTTCTGGCCAGTTCATCTGCGGCATCATTGCCTCTAGATCCACTGTGTCCCTTGATCCATTGCAGAGTCACATTGTTGTGCTTACATACCTCATTCAATCGTTGATGGCATTCGTATATCAGTCCCGAGTTCGTCACATTGCAACTCAGAGCTTGTAGTAACGCCATACTGTTGGTCAGTATTCTGATGGAGAAGTCTTTCACCTTCCTAGCATCTATTGCTATGGCCGCTTGGATGATACCCATGCATTCAGCCTGGAAGACTGTGTTGTGGGTACCCAGCGGTGTGCATAAGTGGATATTAAGGTCTTCAGAGAAAGCCCCAGACCCCACACCTTCATTTGTCTTAGAGCTATCCGTGAAAAAACTTCGAGCTTTCTTGGGCCCAATCCTTCCAGATGGTCAGTTTCCTTCAATTGTATCCTATACTTCTTATCGAATACAAATTGTTTTGGGATCCTATCATACTTGGCTTGTATGATAGGAATTTTTGAGTAAATTCTATCGATTATATCTGTATGGGGGACTCTACTCTTACTTAAAAGATTTAGGATCTTGAGTCTAATGGCAGCTAAAGTTGCTTCTTGTTGTATATATAGACGAAGCGGTGTTAGGTACAGCATAGCCTCCAAAGCTGCTGTTGGTGTTGTCCTTATGCAGCCCGTGGCAGCCATACAAGCTAATCTCTGGTAACGCTGTAGCTTTTGTATAGTGGTGGCTTCATTGGTTTTGGTCCACCATACCAGAGAGCCGTATGTGATTATGGGCCGAATTACAGTTTTGTACAGCCACAGTATAATTTTTGGCGTTAAACCCCATCGTTTGCCAATCATGTTCCTGCACTGCCAGAAAGTTAAACTAGCTTTGCTGATTTTGTTTTCTATGTGTTTGTTCCAGTTAAGTTTACTGTCCAAGGTAAGACCTAGGTATTTTACCTCGGAAGAAAGTTGGAGTTTTGTGCCGAAAAGACTTGGAAGATGATAGTTATTCAGCATTCGTTTTTGTGTGAACATTACTATAATCGTATTATTTGGATTAACGGTTAGGTCATATTCCCCGCACCATCTCTCCATAATACGGAGAGCCGCTTGGGTCAGGTCGCACACAATTCTTGCTGTCTTACCAGAGACCAGTATTGTCAGATCATCTGCATAACCGACTGTGTAGAAATAATTAGCATTTAATTTGCTGATGAGTTCATTAATGACCATATTCCACAGGAGAGGTGAAAGAACCCCACCTTTTTTTTTACATGGGGAAATGCCTACGCATACCCGCCTCGCGGGGGCAGGGACGGGTTATGTCGGACTCGCACCGACTAAAACTCCATGGTGTTCCACCTTCGTCGCATATTGGCAGGGCTACGGGAACGCTTTCGCACACTTCCGCGGCCCTACCAGCGACTGCCGCCCCATGGCAGCACCTCCTCGGGAGAGGAATATTCCTCTCCGTTCTCCTTCCCAAGTAAGGCGCACCAGAACACATGGCACGCCATCCTCCACGGCCTCCAATTGCATCTGCGCAACATACGCCCCCCGCGTCCGATGCGCGAAGGCCATGGGGCCAGGAAAAACGAGCACTTAGAAGTACTAGCCTTCCCGACCCCAGCGGCGGATCTGGTCTATGGCTCCGCCGCCAACCAAGATTCGGCTGCGGAGTATAGGGAGAGCGGCGCCACGCAATACCGACAATCCTCTCCCCCCGCAGCCCCATCACCACCGCATCAACAGTGCGGCCCCGTTTGAGTCGCGAAGGATAGGGCGAGTGGCGCATCGCCATACCAACACTCCTCTTCCTCCGCGACTCCACCTCGGCTGCAGCGGTAGAGGGTGCGGAGTCCCCACTCGCTGCAGTCCACCAGCACACATCCGAAGTGGGCTCCCCAAGCCCACTCGGAGTGGCCACCTCAGGCCGGCCCTTCACCTCGGGCCAGCCACGTGGGTTCCTCTTTGTTCACCGTGGGAGACCAAGCCACGGCTACTAAGCCCCCCCCCCCCGCCACGACAAGGCGGGAACCCGTTCGGGGGGAAGAACCCCACCCTACGGGCATCCTTTCATGATCTGAATTGTCTGAGATTCTGTGTGTACTGAGCATGTTTACTATCCAGTCAATCAGCGCCGGTTCAACATTATGTCTACTTAGGGCACATTTTATGCTGGAGAAATTTGTTCTGTCAAAAGCACCTTCTATGTCTATGAAGGAGCCTAGACATATTGCTTTGTTTTGGAAGGCCTCTTCAATCTTTATTATCTCCTACTCCTCACCTACTCCACTCTCTCCTACATCCTATCATCATATCTACAACTGGTGTAGTTCCAAAGACCCTTAAAACCAGCCTTAACATGCTTCAAATGCTTAAATCCGCTCTTACACTTATACAAAAAGCAGTCCTACTGAACACTTGTCGTCTCACACGTAAATTTCTTAACTCATCACCGTCATCATTGTAATTCTTTCACTTTCCCTGCGTGCACACTTGGTCAAGGCCCGTGTGTCTGTTTTCTACCCCTCAATACAGAGGGAGAAATAAAAACAAATAATAATAATAATATATAATAATATAAATAGGGCGTAGGGAAGTGACGACCCCATCGCCCGTTGACGTGACGGTTATGTGACAAAACCGCTACGTCCACGCAGTCAGTCAGCACCTTGCCAAGAGGTGTGAGCGCCGTGCCTCGGCAAAAATTGATGGTGCAAGGGCCCGCTTGTGCATATGGCCTCACCATGAAACGGCGCCGGGTCTGGGCGTCTCCCGTTAAATGACGCCCTGTATGGATGATGGAACATAGAAGATTGCGCAAAGGGCCGCTGCCTGGAGGTCGTCAGGGCGCGTCTGGAGCTGGCGCTGGACGCGACAGCATGCGAACCGCCAGCCGAGCGCGAGGTGCTGCACGACCACCCAGCAGCCCCTCGCATCCATCATCCCCACCAGCTTGCTTGGTGTCGGCAGGGTCTTCGCAGGCCCAGCAATCGGCACCCGCCACTGGTGGAGTACGCCGCATGCGATGGACCATCAATATGAATTCAAACGCATTGCGGGCGTATTTTAGGGCGAAAGGGGGAGAAATTGGAGGTTTCGCGTATCGGGCTAGGATGCATCGTCTTTTTACTGAGCTGGAGCCATCTATTACTGTCACCGAGCAAAACCTGGCAGACCGAGTTCGGTATATCTTACGCTCAAATATATTTGATGGCGCCGAACTCGAACGGCTACGACGTGAGGCTGTTCCCTCATCAAATGAAAACGCTACGACTGAGGGTGCGGTGCCACAAGTTGCAGAACAACCCGCACACGTGGATGCCGCCGAGAATACCCCAGTGGTTGCTGATTCAAATGATGAAGGAACATTCACCCAGGAACTAGAAATAGAGCAAATGAGGAGTACATTGGAAGAGGCGATTATGGAAACGCGCAGTACGCCTCTCGAAAATCGACCGCGACTTCCCCCGCATAGCCCTAAGCAAGCGGAATCGGGCTGTCGTGAGGGCTCTGAACCCAATGCTGGTGACCTATTTGGAAGCCAGCCGGGACCTTTGCGAGACGGACTCAATTCTCTTTGGCGCCGCACTTGGCAGTCTGCCGTATTATAGGCGCCAAACTTTCCACGGCTGGACGCACTACTGGACAAAGTAGTGCTATCCCAGCCTGGAGAACAAGAGTTGAAGAACGTATCGCAAAGACTAGGGCCCTCATCGGCAGACTGATATGCACCGTCAGGATGGCGTTTGCTGGGACAAATGTTAGTTTGTCCCAGCCGGATATAATGCAAAAACTGACGGAGCGCATAGACGACCTGAAGCAGAGAATCGCTGCTTGGGGAAAGCGAATTCGGCGATATACCGAGAGGTCGACACGGTTCAACCAGAATCGTCTCTTCCAGAGTGATCAGAAGAGGCTCTATAAATCATTGGAGCGACCAATGGTAAGTGGAACGGGCCCAGTACCGAATCAGGCCGACACGGTCGCGTTCTGGCGCAGCCTGTGGTCAGAGCCCGTAAACCACAACGAGGGCCCTTGGACGGAAGTTGTGGCGAGTCAGTGTGCGGGTATTACGCCCATGGACCCCGTCACCATAACGCCGGATGACGTAGCTGAGGCGGTCCGTAGGGCCCCGAACTGGAAAAGTCCGGGACTCGACGGGCTGCATCACTACTGGCTGAAGGGGTTCGTGGTGTGTCACACTGTGCTCGCCCGACAGTTTCAAGAGGTTCTCAACCAGAAGTCGCTCCCGAGCCTCTTCACTACTGGGATCACCCATTTGGTTCCTAAAGGCCAGAGTACCACAGACCCGAGCAAATACCGCCCCATCACATGTCTACCGACCATATATAAGACACTAACATCCATTTTGAGCGCGAGAATCACTCGTCACCTGGACTCAAATCAGGTGATGTCGCGCGCTCAAAATGGATGTCGGGGCGGCGGTCGTGGAACCAAGGAACCACTCCTCATTGACGCGGTCATTGGCAAAGTGGTGAAACGCAACCGTCGGAACTTCTCCGCCGCCTGGATAGACTACAGAAAGACATTCGACTCGGTGCCCCATACATGGCTAAAGAGAGTCCTCGAACTGTACAAGATAGACTGTACAGTTAGAGACTTCCTCGAGCAGTGTATGGGGCAGTGGAGTACGATCTTTTGTCATCTGGGCGAGCGGATGATGGCTGCGGAGAACCACATAAGGATAAGAAGGGGTAACTTCCAGGGCGATTGTCTGAGTCCAAAATGGTTCTGCCTCTCTCTGAACCCTCTCAGTACCTTACTGGAGGGCTCCGGGAGGGGATTTCAGCTACGGAAAGGAGGGACAAAAGTGACCCACCTTTTCTATATGGATGACCTCAAGTTATTCGCCTCCAGTCGCTCCCATCTTATGGAACTGCTAAACATCACTTGTGAATTTAGCAATTCCATTGGAATGGAGCTGGGGACGGATAAGTGTGCGGTCCTCCATGTTGAGAGGGGTAGGGTTGCTAACTCTGAGGGCATAGACTTATCTATGCCCGTCAACTTAAGGACCCTTTCCGAGGCTGAAACATACCGATACCTGGGTATGTCACAGAACATTGGTATCGATGAGGCTGGTATGAAACAGTCAGTTTGCGACGTGTTTTATGCACGCTTGACCAAAGTGCTTAACAGCCTTTTGTCCGGTGTGAATAAGACACAAGCATATAACGGCTGGGTCATGCCTGTCCTCATGTATACCTTTGGCATACTCAGGTGGACTCAGACTGAACTTAACGCCCTGGATAGAAAAGTCCGACGTACTCATGACGTCCCACAGGATGCATCATCCGAGATCGTCGGTAATGAGGCTGTACTTGCCGCGAAAGCATGGTGGGCGTGGCTTCTTGAGCGCGCTCACCATGCATAATCGCGAAGTGTGCAGCCTCCGTAATTACTTCCTGGCGAGATCGACTTCCCCCCTCTCCCGCGCACGGTTGTTTACAGGCTATGGCTACGCTTTGGTGACCTCTTCGGGGAAACCGAGGGTTTTGTCTGTGCAATACAGGATCAGGTTATTAAGACCAACAACTATCGGAGATACATCCTAAAGGATGGCACCATCGACATCTGTCGAGCTTGTCGCCATCCCGGTGAGTCACTTAGGCATGTCATCTCCGGTTGTTCGGCGCTTTCTAACTCTGAGTACTTGCACAGGCACAACCTAGTAGCCAGAATTCTACACCAGGAGCTCGCTCTGAAATACGGTTTCGTGGATCGGAAGTTGCCGTATTACAAGTACTTGCCGGAAGCCGTGCTCGAAAATGATCGCGCCAGGCTCTATTGGGACCGGGCCATCATCACAGACAGGACTATTCTTGCGAATAAGCCTGATATTGTGCTGATGGACCGGGCACAGTCAAGGATATTTTTGGTCGACATTACCATTCCGTGTGACGAGAACCTCGTGAAAGCCGAAACAGATAAGCAAACAAAATATCTGGACCTGGCTCACGAGGTGACCGACATGTGGGGTGGTCTGCCGACCGAAATTATTCCTGTAGTCGTCTCTGCAAACGGGCTAATCCCAGTCAGCCTCTCGGGTCATCTGAGGCGGCTGGGACTACGTGGCGGACCGCTCCAGGCTCAAATGCAGAAGGCGGTGCTCCTCGATACCGCCCGCATCGTCCGCCGGTTTCTTTCCCTTTCCCCCCTAACCCTCGGCCGTTTGGTCTCCCCTGCCGAGGGCTTCCATCTGGTTGGGCTTTTATTTATTTATGTATTTTCGTATTTATTTTATTTTATTATATTTGTCTTTTCATTTTCGTTTATAATTATATATTTATACATCCCAACCAGATGAGAAAACTATATAGATACCCCACACATAATAATAAGCACCCTAAAATCCTACCTTACGTCCAAGCTGAACGTTTAGTTACGTGGGGGGCGTACAAAAGTACAAAAAACGGCTAACAACGAAAGGTAACCCTTTTTGGAAATAAGTAATAAGAGAGTATATAATTTACGGTCGCTTCTCGGGGAGCAGCGGAGCGCATCTGGAGCAAATGCTGGGTGCCACAGCATGCGAACTCTCGGCGGTGAGGATTTAAGCAAGCGGGCTCCTACCGACAAAACTGTTACAGTTGGTTGTAGTGAATTGAACTAGCGGACTCACTGCGTTAAAGCCACAATCGATTCCACGGGCGGTGATAATATTTCATTATTTTCATCCCTTCGACTCGCCCCTCTTACGTAACAAGGAGAACAGCTGGCTTGTAGCCAAAAGCACAAAGCTTGATAGTGTTGCGCAGGAAGTCAACGCCCCAAGTACGCGCAGACAATTACTGCGCACTTACCTTCAACTGAATGCACTAGATATGGACAGAAAAACTTATCTCGAACCGCTTCACCTAAAATTTAAAGAAAAATACCCGAATACGCTTGTTAGCCGACAGAGAATAAGAGACCAACGTAGAGCCATAATAAACAATAAACTACTTCCACAAAAAACTGTAGAGGAGATACAAAACACTCAACCCGACAGGCATAAAACTCTAGCAACCATCAATCAATCAATCAATCATTTTATGTACAACATATACAATACTCCAATGTGATGTACAGTCCCCACACAATCTTCTCAAACGCAACCAAGAACTTCAGAAACACATATTACTAAAAATAGAACGCAGACTTAAATGAGATGGACATTTCCTTAGCTTACCTCCAAATACCTTTCACATGCAGACTCATTAGAAAATTTCTGTAATGTTAATCAGAAATCCCACATCAAAACACAAATATACTATGTTGCAATCTTCTGCACGTGGCCGTACTTAATCCAACTAATAATCACTTGGCTTGGGCCCGTGTTATCAGCTCTTACCGGCTAGCCGAGAATATAAAATCAATTACAAATTTATAATAATAATAATATTTATTTGCACACCATGCAAAGTCCTTGAACAGTAAATACAAAATGTTTAATTATTCAATACATTAGGATTTCAGCTGATGCTTATAATAAGAAATACTAGTGTAAACGTCAGTACTCTTTCAATGTCACAATATACAAAAATTACACAATAATAACAATTAAGCTCATGAAAGGGTAAAGTAAAAAGAAAATAAAATTTGACTATTTTTAAGGAAAACAAGATATATCCTCCTTATTAGGAGCCCGCGCGCGCACGCGCGCCCGTGTGTGTGTGTGTGTGTGTGTGTGTGTGTGTGTGTGTGTGTGTGTGTGTGTGTGTGTGTGTAGGCGCGCGCGTGCGTGTGTATGTACGCGCGTGCATTTGCTTGTGTGGGTGTGTGGATGGGGTATGGATGTGGCTGTAAATATGGTATATATTTGGATAATATATCAACTTATAAGTTTCAACATAGATTCGTACTAACGTACTACACACTAGTGTAGTATAAAAAGTTGTCTCACTGTCACAACTTCACATGGAAGTTGGATGTCGAAACTTTTTAAAAGTGCTTACTTAGTCTGTAGTACTGCAGTCTGAGCATGCTCAATTAAAATCATGCAGATCCTTGTGGCTCCACCCCTAATAGAAATACACAATAGTTAACTATTGATTGACAAAGTACAAAGTAAATCATTTTAATAACGTTAGGGTCAGCTACATCTCTCAGGCGTTTAAATAAAAATATAAATTTTCGAACAACAAGCTTACGTGATGATTGAAATTGAGTCTATCATTAAAGAGTATATACTCTTTCTAGACTTGGACAGTTGCGGTTTGTTTTGGGAGACAGAATATTATCAGAATGACTGTGGGATATTATTTTAAGATTAGAAGGTAGTTTTGGAGATCGAATACTAAACGTCATAAACTTTGCTTTATCAACATTGAACATGAAACCATTTTGTGTTAATCAATCCGTGACAATGTTTAAGCCACGCTGAACTGATTTACAGACCTTTTTTCCGCGTATATACTAGTTTCCGAGACATACTAGTTAGGGAAAAAGCTCCGGCCAAGCTTTTTCCCGACCAAAATTCAGCAAAAGTAAACTATTTATAAGACAGAAATTTCTGTAACCGATTTCATTGATACCGGTACTCTAAACTAATTCAACCAGCTCTGCTTAATATTAAACTCTAATCTAACGAATACATATACTGAGGAATAAATCTGCATTAAACTAGTCAGCATATGGGAGCTTATTGCTGCGTTACCTAAGGCAAAAATTATTGTCAAACGTGATTATTTATGTATGTATCATGTATTACCTTTATTTAACAGGTTTATAACTTTAATGGTTTATGTTTTTAATGTAGCTACAAGATTAATCTTAGACGTTACGCTTACATTTTAAATAAGTTTGAAAATAAACATATTGTTAAATATTTATTTTTTATCTTGAAGCACCATGACTGTCCGTTTACGCCACTAAAAACCATAATTGTGTGCTTCACAGCTTATACTTAATAATTAGCTGACAATTTGCACTGGCTTTTCAAATTCTTCAAATGAACCACATCAAAATAGTTATATAATGATTTCTTATATTTACGCGAACACTACACATTGAAATAATACTAGTTTTTACGGAATTTATCGCGTATATTTAACTTTTTAAATACCCGACGTTTCGAAGGCTTTACAGCACTCATGGTCACGGGCAGGACTGAGATGTTCAACGTCCATATGTCATAGTTAACCGCGGTTATCATAGATTAAAATTTAACTTTTGTTCCGATCTATACAG